TTTCCCCCAAAGCCCCAGTAGATAGTTGTATGTCATAGCTGCACATCCTTCTAGTTGCTGTATGTGGGACGTGGCCTCAGCATGGCTGGAGAAGTGGTGCGTTGGTGCGCGACCGGGATCTGAACCCGGGCCGCCAGCAGCGGAGCGCACGCACTTAACCGCTAAGCCATGGGGCTGGCCCAAAGTCGTTTTATATATATAAAACGACTTAAAAATATGTATTTAAATTTTAAATATGTGTTTATATAATCTTTATTAATATATTAAGTAAGATCTAGTTGTAGGTCTAAAAACTACTGTGATTTTTCTAGTGATGAATATCTGGTATTTTGAGATAACTGCAATAACAATAAAATCTCTGTGATTTCTGTTGGTGACAAAGTCACAGGTACTGCTAAAACTTCTGCAGTTTGTTGCCTACATTCATAATGAAAGGCAACAAACATTAAATTACAGATAACGGGGCAGTGGGGGAAAAAGATGTAACTTTTTCCCATCCAAATTCACAGACATCTGAATTCTATCCATGAACTTCAGTTTAAAAATCCCTGCCTTAGATACTGTTTGTTTGAATATTTTATCATGTGCATGTATTTTTCCCCCCAAATTGTCATAATACACACTCAAACAAGAAGCATTTTGTTTTTTCAGTGAGAAATACACCTAGGCCTTAAGCCTCACTGTTCCGATCAAATGGATACAGGCCCCTAAAGCCTCCTGGCAAGCAAATAAACCCTGTAGGGCCTTTTTTTTTTTACATCAGGCAAGAGGAATTTTCGCTGAATTTCCACATTCTGTATGCTTGATGGAAGGGACTGAAAAACAAAGACATAGGGCGCAGCCAGCGATGCTCCTGCATCACCAGCCATTCGGTCCACATAGGGCAACAGGGAGCTGGACTGAGATGCAGACTATAAATTGCTGAATCAGTGTTACTCCCAAGATTTTTAAAAATAATGACATATCCAATCACATTACCCTCCCTAAATATTAGTAATAATTTCCTTTGGTAAGAGCAAAATTTTGTACTATCAACAAATAACCTATTATTTAATCTTCAGCTCATCTCTTTTAAACTTCTATCTGTATATTCTGTAATATACATAATATATGAGAATAGTAGTGTGTGTATATACATATAATTTACAAATTAGTTTTATGTGTGTGTATGTGATATAAAAAACAAATATCTGGTCTTTGTCCCTGGTTCCTGGCACACAGCTCCTAAAACCCTTGGAATCTCCGGAGCGATTACGAGTGTCTTTGTATGCTAATGAGATGACTATTGGCTGGGGGCCTCTAGATAGCTTCAGGATGGGGGCTGGTCATCAGAAAGACCAAGACATAAGAGGGTTGATACCTTTGGCCCCATCCCCTCGCTTCTAGGAGAGGAGAGGGGCTGGAGATTGAGTTAATCACCAACGGCCAATGATTTAAACAAGCACGCCTATTAATGAAACTGTTACCGAAACCCAAGTGGGTTTGCCTCCTGGCAAGTTAAACCAG